TCACTTCTAGGGTTCTTTTGAAACCCTAACCCTTTGAGGTTTTCTCCGATCTCCTTAGATCTGTTGTGTATCTGTGCTCTCATTGAGTTTTCAAACGATTTCCCTAACTTTTCTTTCAAAAATTACATTCAAAACCGCTTCGTTTCCGATCTAGGGTTTTCTAAAAATGCTTAAGTGTTTCTCTGACTTTCTTTTCCTTTTCTTTTGTGTGTATTTGCCTCTATTTTGTTATATGTTTTCCTTCTACCTTGTATGTTCTTCTACTGAGTTTTTACACTCAGTTCTTGTATGTTCTTCTGCTGAGGTTTTACACTCCATTCTTGTATGTTCTTTTACTGATTTTATATACTTCATAATTGTATGTTCTTCTACCATGTTATCCATACTATGCACTCATATGTTTTTCTATTGTGTTCTTATATTTTTTGTCTTCTACTATGTTCCAGCATGTTTCTACTACTGTATTTTCCTACTAAGTTCTTAAGTTTCCTTATTTTCCTTCTATTAAGCCCTGTTTAAGTTTCTTCTGAAAAATCTCTTAAACATGTTTCTTTTACTGTTCCTATCAGTGTTTTTCTTTTGAGTGCTTCTACTGTGTTCCGCATGTTACTTTGCTATCATGTTTTTATCATGAGTTTCTGTTGATGAAAGAAGCATGCAAGAGGTTTCAACTCTGAAACCTCTGAGCATGTTTCAACTACTTGCCTTCTCATCTTTGTACTTGATTCAAGGTGGAAACCCTAGAATTTGGGGTTTCTGCCGAGGTTTGATTGAACTAGGGTTTTATTTTAGAACCCTTAACTCTTTCAGACTAACTTTGAGTCTCTGAACTGAGTTTGGACATCTTTGTTTTCATACAATGCTGAACTTTTTGCTAAACTCTTCTACACTAATTTTTTCTACTGATTTACACGATAGTCTTCTTTCATGCTCACATGCTCCTTATATATGATGATTTTCCTCTAAATAGTTTTCAAATTTGCAATTAGTGCAAACTTCCTTCTGAATATAGCTTGATTGATTTTTTTCCATCTTTTACTGATTTCCTCGGTTACTCGACTTAAGTAAAATCCTTCTTCATCTTTTCTGACTTAGTTCATTCATACCAAATCACAGACCTTGTGATTTACTGGTTGTTAATTGACTCCCTCACATTAATTGCACAAACCTTGTATTTCAAAACCTTGTCCTTAAATAACTTTTTATGTATTTTTCCCTGATTGCATGCTGTGCAGAAAGTGCTTACTTAATTTCTTTCCTTAAATGGTTTTCACCCGTTTGAATCTGAACCCTTAATTAAGGGAAGCCTTATGTAATTGATTGACAATCAGTTCCTTAACTGTTTTCTTGCCTTATTTCTGCCTGATTTTTACACTATTAAAGGCAAGACCTTTCTTCACTACACTTCAAACGACACAATTCACAATCTCTTCTGAACTCTTACTCACATAATAGAACTCTCTCTTCTTGTCTGCACTGAGGTTTTTACCAGACTACTGCATTTTTCTCTACTTGTTTCTTTGAAACTGGTATGTCCTAATTTCAAATTTCAGCATCCCCATAATGTGTTTACTTACAGCTTTCTGCATCTATGTCTACTTTACTACTTCTGCAGAGTTAAATACTTAAACTAGCATGTTGATTCCCTTTTACTTGTATATGATATGAATCCCTATTCCCTATTTCCCTTTATGTGCTTTGAGTTACAGTTTAAAACATGGGAATATACAAGCTATTGTCTATGGATTGAACTTGATCCCTTAGGGGATCCTAACCTCTAAAAAATGTGTTCCAGTAGGCTTATGGGTGTGCCAGCATCTCCCATTGTTGGGTCATGCCCACTAGCCTGCTTTTTACCTCTTGCAACTTCCCATTCCCTATATCCCTATGTGTGTTGTTTCTCTTTCCCTTTTCCCCTTTCAGAATTCTGCACTTACACTCTCTCTTAGTTCATAAGTTCTTCCCCCCTCTTGTGAGCCTTGCCTTAGGACCTTGAGTTCCCTCTGAACTTGGATACTTGAGGGCTGGCCCTTCCACACTGCACTTTGGCTTAATATGGTGATACATTTAGGTGTATGTCACGCCCCAAACTAGGGGAGGCACGACTGGTACTCGATACTGTATTCGATCGAGTTAGCCACTAAACATACTAGCTACCTAAACTAGGGGCCCAACAGATCGGGCAGTACAACATCTGAAATACTAAGCCTGGACCATTACGATCATGACCTGAATAATAATAAGCCATATAAACAAAGATAGACGAGCCAAAATAATAAAGTGCTAGCTGGCCGACGAGACCGCGATTAGAGACATACATGCCTACACACATATATATACATGCCAAGCCTATGGGCTAGAGACTGAAAGCTACAAAAAGAAACCCAGAATACTGTGTCCACAATAGCCTCTAAGAGTGTCATAAGCACTGTTGGAACAAGGCCCCGACTACACCCAAACTGTCAACAAAAGTAACCATCCTATGAAAGCTCCAGGAAGAGGTGGAGCTTACCAACTCACAGCTGAACCCCGAAATCCTAGCGGAGGGTCGATCAGAGTCCCTACTTGGACCTGCACGCACGAAACAAAAATGCAGTGTCCCCAGGCAACGGGATATCAGTACGAATAAAAATATACTTGTATGTAAGGCAAAAAGTAGAATCATACATAGCTGGTGTAAAAAAATAATAGTGAAACCACCTGACACTGAAACTCTTATAGCCTCCATGACCGACATCCGGCCTCATAGTAATCAATTATGCATGGTATGCTCGTGTAGCGTATGTTGTGAATACATATATATTGATGCAAATGCATGACATACCCAACCAAATGCTAGCAATGGCGGTCTCTCCCAGTAGCTAACTGGTATCATATTGCCAACTTGTGGCTTTCTGTACAATATATATAGTTTTTCGGGCAAATAGGCCCCTTACCTCTGATTATAGCTCGAATTCCATGCATAATATGCCATGTATGATATGAACTTTGAATGCATATAATAGGCCATAACAAGAACTTAGCCAATCTTGGCTCATAGGTACTCTTATCCTCATGATCTCATAATCACCTTCGTATCGCATACAATTGTCTCGTGGAACCTCATATGTTTTCTTTGAATAAATAAGCTTGAAAACTTAACTCGACTTTTAGAAAGATAACTTAACTCTGAAGATGTTCATAAAAAGCTTAAGGTGCTTCACTTAGTCCTTATACCTGATTTCTTGATAATTAGTAAAGGAAAGTATATCAAAAATCAAGTGTTTTAATAGTTTAAACGTAAAATTTATATTTGAGATTTTTGAAAATCGATGTGTCACTTTAGAGATTTTAAAATATACTTTAACAAGGAAGAAGGACTGATCGTAAATACTACATGCCTTTATTTTGTTTAGTCACATAAACCAAAGATGAATAAGAATTCATATATATAGACATATGGATAAGAAAACCGACAAAATAACATATATAGATGTCGAATACCCTAATTAACCGAACAAGTGAAATATCAACCTAATAGCATCATGAAAATACTTCAGCTACAATCTTAATGCCTTTCACAGAAGGTCTTTCTAGCAATAGAATATTAAAATATCACATTTGGCGTCTTAGGAATTTCCAAGAATTCGTTCAAAAAGGAAGGACGGAGTTTAGCCTTAACATACCTTCCCAACGAACATTCGAATGCCTATAGTTCCTTCACAAAAGTCGTTCCTTACGTCCTAAGCTTCACAAACACTATATATATGCAGCTTATATGCACCTATAAACAGTTCATAATTGAGTTTAAATTGGCAAATGTGCCATATGGCCCTAACTTGATGAAACGTCCGTAGAACTTTGTAAACACGTTTATAAAAGAGTCCCAAGATGATTACCTTGGAAAATCAAGTATAAAGCCTGAAGAACCAGCAAGAACAACAAATTCCTGTCTTCCAAAAATAGCTCCAAACACAGCTAATAGAAGGGGGAAACGATTACAAAGCGTAGAGATTGAGTTTCTAGGCACGGGGACAAATTTTAACGATAGAAATCGTTAAAAACGTACCTTAATCACTCAAGAATAGCATGAAACCCTCTCTTCAGCTCCCTCACTATTTTGGGAAATGTTTTGGGGTCTTACAAGTCGGATTTGTCGACTTATACCACTTGTTTGATCTGACTCGGTTCGTGACCCGGTTTCAACCTGGACAGTCCGGGGTAAAACAGTCATAACCTTTTACTCCAATGTCCGTTTGATGTGAGGTTTTTTGGTTGAGAACTAGACTTGTAGAACTTAAATTTGATAGGTTATGGGTCCCATAACTTATTATATATTGGGATAAATGATCTGATACATTTGACCCAAAGTTTAGAAAAATTATTAGAGAAATTTACAATAACCTTTGCCGACCTTTATTTCGCAACTTGCTTGACTCCAAAACATAACATGTGACCCGTGTGATATTATAATACCTCATAATATACTATTTATAGCATATTAGACACTCTTAGTCTTATCCCACAGGTGCAAGTTAACTTAAACCTTCCGAACGCGCGGGGTCCTACCCGAGCCATTTCTTTAACCACGAACCTTTGTTTAAGGGATTCCTTTGACCTAAAGCATTAGTTAGTTCCTTGATATTACCACACATTTTCAGTCTTATTCTCCCAATGTGCTATACCCAATTGTATATACCTAATATAACCACGCCACGTTATGTATATCACGTAAGAGAAGAGAAAAAACACACGGGGTCTCACAGTCTCCCCCCTTTAAGAACATTCGTCCGCAAATAGGTCAAATCAATTCCTTGGTTTCATCATTTTTTTCTAGCTAATACATTATTTGCGAGGATATATTTGTTACATTTGCAAAGCATAAATCAAATTCTGAAGATTCCAACTACTATGCTTCATATAGCTATCTCGCAATAAGATAAATGGCACTTTCTTGTCATTTAAAAATCCAATTAAGTGTTGTAAAGAAATAATTGCCAATTATTTAAATGCAACTCACCTTAAGTCGTAAATAGGTAGGGGTACTTCTTCCTCATTTCCTCCTCAACCTCCCAGGTCATTTCCTCGATGTTGTTATTTCGCCATAACACTTTCGCAGAATCCACTTCTTTAGTTCGAAGCTTTCTTACCTGCCGATCTAAAATAGCTACTGGTACCTTTGCGTAAGATAAGTCTTCAGCAATGTGAATATACTCAATGGGCGTAATACGTGAAGGATCTCCAATGCACTTCCGCAACATAGATACATGAAACACAGGATGGACCGCTCCCAATTCTGAAGGCAAATCAAGCTCGTACGCCACCCTGCCAATCCTCTGAATAATCTTATACGGTCTAACATACCTGGGTCTAAGCTTCCCCTTCTTTCCAAATTGCATGACGCCCTTCATAGGCGATACTTTCAGGAAAACCGAATCTTCTACATCAAACTCTAAGTCTCGTTGTCAAACATCTGCATAGGACTTCTGCCGACTTTGTGCTGTACGAAGCCGGTCGCTGATAAGTTTTACCTTTTCCATTGCTTGCTGGACTAAATTAGGACCTAGCAGCCCTGCTTCCCCGACCTCGAACAAACCGATCGGCGACCTACACTTCCGCCCGTATAGTGCTTCATAAGGGGCCATCTGAATACTAGCTTAGAAGCTGTTATTATAAGCGAACTCAATAAGAGGTAGATGATCATCCCAACTTCCTTTAAAATCTAGCACGCAAGCACGTAACATATCCTTAACTGTCTAAATAGTACGATATGCCTGTCCATCAGTTTGCGGATGAAAACCTATGCTAAGATTTACTTGCGTGCCTAGACCTTTCTGAAAAGATTTCCAAAAATGTGTTGTAAATTGAGCCCCTCAATCAGAGATAATAGATAATGGTACCCTGTGAAGGCACACAATCTCCCGAATGTAAAGCTTGGCATAATCCTTGGCTGAATATGTCGTCCTAACTGGCAGAAAATGAGCAGATTTTGTAAGCCTGTCAATAATTACCCAAATAGAATCATACCTCTGTGGAGTGCGAGGCAAACCGGTGATGAAGTCCATATTTATCATGTCCCATTTCCATAATGGAAGTTCAATACACTGAGTTAGGCCTCCAGGCCTCTGATGTTCGGCTTTAACTTGCTGGCAGTTAGGACATTGGGCTACCATCTCCGCGATATTTTTTTCATTCCATTCCACCAATAGATCTGTCGAAGGTCCCAATACATCTTTGTCGCTCCAGGGTGAACTGCATATCTAGAATAATGGGCATCCAAAAGAATCTTGACGCGGAGCTCTCCGACTGTCGGTACACATAAGTGGCCTTGGTATCTAAGGACTGCATCTCCAGTTAGCTCAAATAAAGGTTGTCTCTGCTGTGGAATACTTTTCCTCAGTTTTATAAGCTCAAGATCCTCGTGTTGTCGCTCTTTTACTTTAGTAACAAAAGAAGATTTTGCCGTATTCTGAACGAGAATGCGTCCACCCTCTGCATCTACCAAATGGACCTGCAAACTAGCTAGCTGGCATAGATATTTGGTCATCTTGACCTTATCAACTTCAACATGGCTTAGACTGCCCATGGACCCTCCGGCTAAGAGCATCAGCAACAATATTAGCTTTGCCGGGATGATATAAAATATCAACATCATAGTCCTTTAGTAATTCTAGCTATTTAAATAAATACCGAAGGCTCTGGTGGTCGGTGAAAACATCAATATGAACCCCATATAGATAATGCTGCCAAATCTTTAGGGCGAAGACAACTGCGACTAACTCAAGATCGTGCGTAGGATAGTTCTGTTCATGTTTTCGCAACTGTCTGGAGGCGTATGCGATAACCTTACCATGCTACATAAGAACACAACCTAGTCCAATTCTCGAGGCATCACAATAGACAACATAACCCTTGGTGCCATCCGGAAGAGTCAAGATAGGTGCCGTCGTAAGCCTTTTTTGTAGATCCTAAAAACTTTGTTCACCTGCCTCAGTCCACTGAAACTTAGCTCCCTTATGTGTCAGCTTCGTCAATGGTGCAGAAATAGAGGAAAATCCTTCCAAAAACCTTCTGTAATACCCTGCCAAGCCTAAAACGCTAGGAACCTTTGTCGGATTCAAGGGCCTCGTTCAAGTCATCACAGCTTCAATCTTTTGGCCATCAACCTTGATACCATCGCTAGTAATAACATGACCAAGAAAAGCTATAGAAGTTAGCAAAAATTCACATTTAGAGAATTTAGCATATAACCTGAAGTCCTGGAGAGTCCGCAATACAGCTCGCAAGTGGTCCGCATGCTCGGCTTCCGATCGTGAATATATCAAGATATCATCAATAAACACAATAACAAATTCATCCAAGAATGGTTTGAATACCCGGTTCATAAGATCCATAAAGGCTGTTGGGGCATTTGTAATCCCAAAAGACATGACAAGGAATTCAAAATGGCCATACCACGTCCTAAATGTTGTTTTTGGGATATCAATATCCCTGACTCGTAGATGATGATAACCGGATCGCAAGTCAATCTTCGAAAAGCATTGGACACCTTGTAACTGGTCGTCAATCCGTGGAAGAGGATACTTATTCTTGATAGTGACTTTATTTAGTTGCCTGTAGTCAATACACATCCGCATGGAGCCATCTTTCTTTCGAACAAAGAGCACCGGAGCACCCCATGGGGATGTACTTGACCTAATAAAGCCTTTATCGAGCAAGTCCTCCAGTTGTTCCTTCAATTCCCTTAGCTATGCAGGATCCATTCTGTAGGGAGGAATGGATATAGGTTGCGTATCAGGAAGCAAATCTATAGCGAAATCGATTTCGCTTTCCAGGGGAATTCCTGGAAGCTCGTTAAGGAATACCATCGAGAATTCATTCACAATAGGAACCGATTGAAGAGTTGTTAGCTCCTTATCTATATCCCTGACATGAACCAGATGGTATATACAACCTTTAGCAATAAACTTCTGAGCCCTAAGGTATGAAATAAACTTACCTTTGGGCGTGGCTGTATTACCTTTCCATTCAAGGACAGGCTCACCCGGAAAATGAAATCGGACCAACTTTGCACGACAATCAATATTAGCATAACAAGTTGCCAACCAATCCATACCCATAATGACATCGAAGTCTAGCATAACCAATTCCACTAAATCAACAGAAGTTGGACGGTCATTAATTAACACTGTACAACCTCGATAGACATGATTAGCAACAATAGAGTCGCCAATTGGCGTAAACACCTCAACTGGCTANACAATAGAGTCGCCAACTGGCGTAGACACCTCAACTGGCTGTGGCAACAACTCAGATCTCATGTCAAGCTTACCAGCAATAAATGGAGTAATATATGAAAATGTAGAGCCGGGATCTATCAATGCATAAATGGCATGAGAATGTATTGTCAATATACCTGTGACAACATCTGGGGATGCCTCTGAATCCTGTCAGCCTGTGAGTGCATAAAAGCGGTTCTGGCCACCACTAGAACCTGAGGTGTCTCCTCCACCTCTCCCCCTACCACGTCCCTGAGTAGATTGTGGACCTGGTCGGGGAGCACGAACTAAGGGCGAAGAGGCTGCTGTGGATCCTGAAGGCTGAGCTGGTGCACCTCTACCTAACTCCGGGCACTGGCTAATAAAATGTCATGTCTGCCCACAATGATAACATGCACTCAAACCCTGTCTACACTGCTCGGTGTGCAGCTTACTGCACTGAGTACATGGAGGAATAAGTTGTCTTATTTGTGCGGAATGCTCCTGTCGACGGCTCTCAGGCTGGCCTGAGCTCTGCCCCGGTCCTGACTGAATATAACGATCAAACCACTGGCCCTACATCTGTGGTGGGAAACTACCTGCTAATCGAGGTGGATATCGATGGAGTGGGGGCTTGAAATCACCCCGTGGCTTCCTATAAGACCCCATAGTATGAGCCCTCTTACTTTGCTCCCTATCCCTGCGAGTATCACGAATCCAACGGGAAAGGTCCTCTGTAGTCTGAGCGAAAGCCTGTATGCGGGAAATATCTACATCATCTTACAAGGATGCTACCCTACAGTCTCTAATCAGATGATACCCCAAACCATACACATAATGATGAACTCTAGCCCTCATGGTACGTACAATATCTGGTGCATACCTCGCCAAAGAATTAAACTTTTGGCTGTAATCCCTCACACTTATATACCCTGCTTCAGGTTAAGAAACTGGTTAAGACGGGCCTCCTGGACCTCCCGTGGAAAATAATGGGCTAAAAAAGCCTCAGAGAAGTCCTCCCACTCTGCTGGCGGAGCATTAGGTCATCTAGATCTCTCCCATGCCTCATACCATAGGACAACTACATCACGTAGCCGAAAAGAAGCCAACTCCACAGCCTCGGTGACAGAGGCATGCATCACCCTTAATACTCTATACATTTGGTCTATAAAGTCCCGGGGATCCTCAGTGGAACTGGATCCTGTAAATAATGGAGGGGACAAGTGAAGAAACTCTCATACCATCGAGCTTCCTGTCCGATCTCTCCGGGCATCTGCTCCCGACTTTAGCTGTCGCTCATGAATAGAAACCATCCTAGTGAGCAACTGAACTGCCTCCCTCATCCCCTGCTCCCCAGTCTCTGATGGCGGAACAATAGGTGCTAGAGGTCCTGTGTCTCTAGCTTCCTCAGGTACTAATATCACTGGTGAGGCTGGGGCTACTGCATCTCCCTGGGCTCCAACAGGTGCTGGGGAAGCTGAAACTAGGGGTACTGGAGACTCACTGTGTGCCTCTAAGGGAAATCTATCCCTCTGACCCGGTGGGGAACGACTGGTACCTTCCCCCAGATTCATACCTATCTCTCGCTGTGCCATCTCCGGAGCGTAGGTTGATCGCAACAGACTCAACCTGAGGAAAAGTGGGCGCTAATACTTTTACCCAATAGCGGTATCGGGGTCAATTTTCCACAGGGAACTTCAATTTGGAGTTGCCTGTTTGTATAGTCTAGGACTATGTTTTAGCTCCTAATTGATATTCTAACATTTTTGGTTTTCTTTTTGATTAATAGCTACAATTTATCAACTACAATTGTAAAACTAAGTTATGCTAAAATTATGATTCTAAGTTGTGTGCAATATTGAGAAAGGCACTAGGGTCCTACTGCAAGAATGATGACTATGGGACTTATGCTATAACCGTTGCACTTTTGCACTCACTCTCACACCTCTCGGTAGAGAGAGTGATTTTGCCCAATTGACTCTCTCGAGACCAATTGGGTAGGCCAATTTTCCCAAGCAATTTATGGTTAAAGTTGGGTAATTACTCTCTCGAGGTTTAACCCGTTAATTGGGACAACCATTCTCATGGGTCCATTCCAATTCCTTATTAGAATTAATCTTGGGGTCATAGACTTTCTTTCTCAAGAAGAGTCAAGACTCACTAAGCTAGACTTAGTGTTTGCAACCACCAAATCTTAATGAAAACATAAGATTAATTCAAATAACAAATACCCAACATCATTCATGCACTAAACAATCACACCCATTAATTACCCACACTAGGGTTGAGCCACAACCCTAGCTAATGGGTTTAGCTAGCCATAATAGGAATAGAAACTGAGGAATTAATAGATGAAATTGACATAACAATTAACTACAATGTTAATC